TCCTGTCAGCTCGATTTTTGAGTGGACTTTGCTGTTCCGATGAGCATGAACGGTATATGAGTGGAGCACTCACATGGGCCGTGAGCGACTGAGCGGAGCACACACACATAGAGCGGGATAATACCAGAGCGTCACACGACGTGAAAGTGAATCCTGAGCGGTGAACTAATTTTCGGCAGCCGGAATTTCGGTGCATCACTAATTATTGGCGATATCAGAAATGGATATTATATAATAGATGCTTTTTTTTGAACATTTTAGCAATTTAAAAATATTAAAAAGAGATTTTTTTTACACGGCACCCCTGCTCTCGACAGACGGCACCCCGGGTGGGAAACACTGGTCTAGAAAGAGAAAAGTGACAAAAAAAAAATCAACTTCATTGTGGTTTTAAAACTATTTGTACCTAAAAAGAAACACAAAATAGACTTTGTTCTGCAAACCTGAATGTATATGCCTTAGAAAGTAATTGTGGATTAAAAAAAAACAAAAAACAGTTGGTTCTGTTGAGTGACTAGTGAATGTTCACTCTGTCTGAGAATACTAATAGATGCTATTGTAACTGTTGTTGGCAATAAAGCAGAAGTTTGTAATTCATCTTCAACGTCTGTGTCTGTTATTCATACCTGGAATCATTAAAATTATTTTATTAACCTCATTAAAAATAATAATACTAAATTATTTTTTGTTAAATCAAAACAATTCATTTAAGTAGTATTCATTAGCATAGTACTCTGATTAAACCAATATTTTTGTTTCAATTTTACTTAAATTTTTTGTGTGTGCTATTTGCATCTACTCATTTTGAATGGCTAATTTTTAAGAACACGTTTGATTAATTCTAACTCGATTCTCAACTCGATTCTCGGTTGAATTCAATTAATATTATTGCTTGTAATCTGTTGCCACAATTTTATTGAGTAGATATAGTGTATTATTTTTTACAGTGTAGGCCACAATAGAATGTGCAGTTTGCATTGGAACCATATATCCTTTTTACAGTTTGATTCCATCTTTTTTGACATAGCATGTTACGTTTTCTATCCGTTTTTATTTTTCATGGACGTTGACTTCGCAGAGTTGCTAGTATACCCTCTTTTTGGACACACCAACAGGAACCGACTTTCAGCAGTCATGCAATACGTGTGCAGAATTAGCCACCAGTCGCTGCACAGTAGGCTATTTGTTGGCCGCTTTGCTGTCTGATAGCAGTCCAGATATTACTGCTTATTGATTAAGTGTTTCAATTAAAAGTGACCTCCTTCAGTGACTAAATAGTAAAGCGCATAATGCTGAGAAGTGGTGCTGGTGCGCGCGTGTGGATATTGTGTGTGTGCGTGTGTGTGAGGTGGCTAGAGCGAAGACTGATTATGATCATGCCAGGGGTTGAGACGCATCACTAATAACTGTGACTATCGTCCAATCCACTTCACTTGACGCTGCGCTCCAGCGTTTGGCTCGCAGAAGGCTGACTCAGACATCACCAAACTCTCCAGAAGTAGATCAGAACTGCGCTTTGGTGTTTTTGACACCCTGCCAGGTGCCCTGCAACCTACGATGACATTCAGAAACACCTCCCTGGATTTATTTTCGCAGTTTTATATCTTTCAGAATTTCTCCATGTATTTTAATTTCTCTTTGGACGCCATGTACGACAGAGGAGCGAATTACGAGTCTGAATCCCACAGACCGACCATCAGAGCGCTGCTCGTCGTCGCATATTCCGTTATTATCATCATCTCGCTGTTCGGAAACGTGGTGGTTTGTCACGTTGTTATTAAGAATAAACGGATGCACTCAGTGACAAGTTTATTCATCATGAATTTAGCCATTGCTGACATTCTTATAACTCTCCTCAACACGCCTTTTACACTGGTAAGTTTCCAAAAGCTTAATTTATTTAGGCTACTTAAATATGAAAACACTATATTTTTATTTTGTTAAAATACAGTTAGGCTATTAAAGTTTTACTCTTGTTACTTTTTATGCCATTAAAACTAGACAATTGTTATTGGGTCAATCGCTCATCCGGAATTTATTCAAAATGCATTAAATAATACAATTAATACAAAAACTAGTCATTTTCTATGAAACGTTTAAGTCATTGTGATGTTTGTGAATGTTACAGTTAATGTGTAACTGCACTGTAAAAATGGTATGAGCTCTCTACCTTTAGAGAGGTAAAAGTAGAGAGGTAACAATATTACACATAATATTTTTGAGTAGTTTTTAAGACTTGATTTTTTTAATGGTATCTACCTGAATTAATCATGTAAAAATCTCCTAAATTATTTAATCTATGACACAATGATATGAATATTATGTGAAATGTGCTCATTTGTTTTAAATTGATTCTCAAAAGTCTGTGATTTTGAGTAAAGTCTGTTTGTATTTGACTGAGTTGTTTTGTACAATAAAAAGACTGTACACAGCCAAATAGCTCAAGTAGAACAACGTTACTACACTAATCTTAGCAATGCTGCTCATTGAACAAGGCATCACATCTCGTATACATGTAGGCATGCAGTTATCCATAACCATAAGCTCTACTCTTCTGCACAATGGTAACAGAAACAACGTAACAAAAACTCTTTCAAATGTCAAATATAACTGAACATTAAACATTAATAGATGTTTCCCTTTACTCAAAAACACATAAAGTAGCACTTCATTTCAATATTTACTCTCCATATCCAGCCATATGCAAAGCATGCTGGGAACTAACAATCACCGCCAAAATAAAACTGCAAAATTGAGCTAATTCTCTTAAAATAATTAGGTAGCCTTCTTTCCTTAATTTTTTTCAGTTTAATCCCTTCCTCAATTCAAGCCTCAATACTGCTTAGTTTTCCTTAAAAAATATGAGGAAAACATTGTCTACTCTCTTGGTTTTATTAGTGAAAAGTTCTCAATATTTTCTATACAACACTGAACCACAATTTCTTTAAGAAAATATACACACTATTTTTAATTATCACCTTAATTTTTTTAATTAAAATTACAAGACCCATTCATTTTTTACAGTGAGACTTTAATTCAAAGGGCATAATTTCCAGTCGTGCTCAAGTTTTTACGCGAAAAAACAGTGCATTGTGAATCTCTAAACTATTGAAAACATTTTTGCTGAAATATCACTCACTGTGACTGCATAAGGTAACTTTAATGAGGTTATGTGATTAAGATGAACATTATGAGTCAAGTAAACAAGAACAAAACTATCGAAATGCACACGGACCAATGTATTACAAATCAGAATTCTCAAACAGAAATGCAAACTTACCTTAAACAAGAGAAAATCCAGCCATGTATCACCTCCATGACAAGCCCAACTGTCCCTCTCTGATTCAAAGTGTGGGTCCAAACACGCATGTGCGGATTCAAGGGCGCTATACTTTTAGATTAAAATTTACTCAATATTTCTATATTTATGTGCAATAACTATAAAACATGTAAAAGAGTTACTTTCCCCCACACAATTCATTAATTACATTAATTAAATGTGTACATTTTACTTAGAAAATTGTTGTTCTCCTTGAGTTTTTTTTTATATTACAAGTAGAACTTATGATGGTTAATTTTATATATTTTGCAACACCACAAACCTCTGGTGTGTGTTATCTCTATCATTGTTCTTAGTTGTTTAGTGACGACCATTTAGAGGAGGTGCATGATTCATCTCTCTGTGAGTGTGTGGGGGTGAGCATGTGCATGCTTTTTAATTCTTACATGCATCTTGATCCAAGGCCACTTTATTGTTTATGTGTTCTCTCAGGTTCGGTTTGTTTACAGTACATGGATGTTTGGGAAGGCGATGTGCCATGTGAGCCGCTTTGCACAGTATTGTTCTGTTCATGTCTCTGTTCTTACGCTGGTCGCTATCGCCATTGATAGACACCAAGTAAGTGTTCTCACAAACACATACACAGACATCTTAACAACAAAAACTTTAGAGTATATAGCTTTTTCATAATCATTTTAAGGGGAGATACTGCAGGCAAAAACATTGTTTCCTCTTCAGGAACTCGAGCTGCGTAGGAAAACGCCACGGGAACACCTTCTGTGACCACGCTCTGAATCACATGTGAAATCAGTCCAATAGCTGAGCGGGACGTTACGGGCGGGTGACGTCATGACCAGGAGGCTATAAAAGCACGTGCGGCAGAGCCAGCGTCAGCTTTCTGTCATTCAGCGAAGCGCTCTGTGTGTGTCAGTCATATTTATTGTTGTCTGTCAACTGTGAATAAGTTCATAAGCTCCAGGTATGTCTAAGGCTCACGCTAAAACTAAGCATTCCAAGGGCGAGAGCAAGCCACGTTATAGGTTGTGTGTTCCGCCCTGCCCACGTTACATCACGGGTGGGGATACACACAGCCTGTGTGCGGTTTGCTTGGGAGCGAAGCACGCAGAGTCGGCTCTCGAGGGGGCCGGCTGCCCGCATTGCGAGCGTCTCCCACTGCGTACGCTTCGCTCCCGGAAGGCTCTCTTCGAGGAGGGAGCCTTCGCCAGCGTTCCTCGCGGTGCTGGCCCCGCTTCCGTCGAGGCGGAACGGCGGCTGCATTCGTGGGGTTTGCAATTGGATCTGGCGGAGGGAATGGAGATGGGTGAGTCCCTATCTCCTTCCTCACCCGCTAGATCCAGTGCCCGATCTCTGGGTTCGGAAGCCCGTTCTGCGGTTACTTCCTCCCGGGGTGAGGGCTCGACGCTCCACCTGTCTTCCTCCGAGGAGGTTGACGTGGAGGGCGTCGAAGCGGTTTCGCCCCCTCAATTGCCCCTGTATGAGGAGCTATTGGAGGTGCTTATTCGCGCCGTGGCCAAATTAAAAATCGATTGGCCCGCCGAGAAGCAGACCGAGCTGCAGTGAAGCAAGCTGGATGAACGCTTCCTGCGCGCGAGGCCACCACCTCTATGCCGAAGCCTGCCATTTTCCCCCGACCTTCACACTGAGGTGTCGAGGTCGTGGGCCAGGCATTTTTCGGCCCGTCTCTTCATCCCTGCCTCTGATTATTATGGGAATGTGGTGGGGTTGACTAAGCGTGGCTATAGGACGATGCCCCGGGTTGAACAGATGCTAGCCAGCTATCTGTCCCCAGGCATGGCATCGTCCTTAAAGGCTCCGGCACTGCCCTCCAAGCCGCTGCGTACAACATCAGCGCTGGTGGGCAAGGGGTACGCGGCAGCAGGTCAGGCCGGTGCGTGTCTGCACACGATGTCTGTGTTACAGGCATACCAGGCAGACCTGCTTAAAGAGCTGGATGAGGGCGAGGAACTTAACTCCGATAACATCGAGGAGTTAAGAAGAACTGCTGATCTCTCTCTCCGCGCCACCAAAGAGACGGCCCGCGCCATTGGGTGGTCCATGGCAGCTATGGTGGCAGCAGAGAGGCATTTGTGGTTGACCCTGTCGGATATGAAAGACAAAGACAGGGTCTTCCTCCTTGACGCCCCGCTTGTGCCTTCTGGCCTGTTCGGCAACGCCGGCCTGTTCAGCGACGCCGTCTGTTCCGTCGTCGACAGGGACCAGGAGGCTCGTAAACAGGTGGCAGCATTTCAGCGGTTCCTCCCTCACCGCATCTCAGCTCTGGGGGCTGCTGGGCAGGAGCAGTCCCCACCGCGTACCAGCTCCTCACACAGAGAGGCTCAAAAACAGAGCGTTGCCGCCCGTGCTCCCCCGCGTCGGGACCGGAGGCAGAAGAACAGGGTCGGAGGCTTCAAAGCCTAAACCGGATCTGCGGACTGTCCTTCAGGCTAAGAGGTCCTCGACCAAACGTGCAGGACTAGTGAGGGCAGGCCCTTCTGGGGACGAGAGGTTCACACCGCATTACACGGTGCCCGTCTCCTCCCAGTGCCCTCGGGAGATCGTTCTGCCAACCCTGCCGGTGTTCCAGGGCACAGCGGTCTCTAACGAGCATTTCTTTCAGTTTCCACCCGGCGACGTAGCGGCACTGAGAAGCTCGCGACCTCTGCGGAGGCCCCCAGAGCGGCGAGTTCGGCCATCCCCTGCCGGTGTGCCGCTTCAGGGCACCGAACTAGCCGCTCTGGGCACACCAGAGATCAGTCTCGAGAGACTTAGCCGTTACTTCATTGTTCCGAAGAAGGATGGGGGGGTTGCGTCCTATTTTAGATCTGCGCCTATTGAACCGCTCAGTCATGCGACTGAAGTTCAGAATGCTCACACTCAAACAAGTCGTGTCTCAGATCAGGTCCGAGGACTGGTTTGTCACGATTGATCTAAAAGACGCATACTTCCATCCTTCCTCATCAGAGGAAGTTCCTGAGGTTCGTTTTTGGGGGAAAAGCTTACCAATATCGTGTTCTTCCTCTCGGCTTTGCACTCTCACCCCGTACTTTCACGAAGTGTGTGGATGCTGCGCTGGCTCCGTTGCGATTCCAGGGAATCCGTATACTCAACTACATCGATGATTGGTTGATTTTAGCTCATTCAGAGCAGGTTGCGGTTCGACATCGAGATGTCGTTCTCGCTCACACGAAAGAGCGGGGGTTAAGACTTAACGCCAAGAAAAGTGTGCTTTCTCCACCGTTGCGATTCCAGGGAATCCGTATACTCAACTACATCGATGATTGGTTGATTTTAGCTCATTCAGAGCAGGTTGCGCTTCGACATCGAGATGTCGTTCTCGCTCAAATGAGAGAGTTGGGGTTAAGGCTAAACGCCAAGAAGAGTGTGCTTTCTCCATTACAGAGAACCACCTATCTGGGCGTGGTGTGGGATTCGACCACGATGCAGGCACGTTTGTCCCCTGCTTGGATCGAGTCGATCCTCACTGCATTCAAGAGAGTGAAAGAAGACCAGTCACGCACTGTCAAGCAGTTTCAAAGACTGCTGGGTCTGATGGCAGCTGCGTCCAACGTGATTACTCTTGG